CCGGCACCGGCACCGGCACCGGCACCGGCACCGGCCCCCGGGCCCTCCCCGGCTCCCCCCGCCCCGCCACAGCGCGGCCGGGAGCGGCCGGCGCCGGGTGTGCGGCTCCTCCGCCCCGCCGGAGCCCTGTGGATTTCGTGGGGAAAAAGAAAAACGGAGAAGAGCCCTTCCTTTGCGGGAAGGCCCCGCGAAACGGCAGCGATCCGGCGGGATAAATCCTCCGGAGCATGGCWGGGATTGGGGCGCGCGTCACGTAGGCAAAGGGGCGCACCGTGCTGGGAATGCCGTGCTTGAGCGCGCTTCCGGAGTCACTTGGATGCATGGAGCGTGGGCCAGCGCTCCGGGGATTTGTGTCCTTTTCCCGTCTGTGTGTCTGCGCGGGAGCGGCGGAACCTTTCTCGGTCCGGAGCCGCTGAGCAGCGTCGCTGTCGGCCGCCATCAGGCCGTCAGCGCGGCTTGTTTTGCTGATTTTCCTTTTTCTTTTTTTTTTTTGCCACGGGATTGCATTACGGCGTCCCCCGGGAAAGGGTCATGGCGCTGAAAGCCAGAGCCCTCTACAACTTCCAGAGTGAAAACAAGGAGGAGATCAGCATCCGGGAGAACGAGGAGCTCGTGATCTTCAGCGAGAACTCCCTGGATGGCTGGTTGCAGGGCAAGAACAGCCGCGGGGAGACCGGCCTCTTCCCAGCCTCCTATGTCGAAATCCTGCGCTCCAGGGCCAGCTCCGGCTACACGGACTACTCAAGCAGCCCTGCCGGCTCTCCTGGGCACGACTCGTCCTTCCGCGCAGCCGACGCCGGCGTCTCCTACCAGGGCAGTTTTGAGGACGACGACGACGACGACTGGGATGACTGGGACGACGCGTGCACGGTGGTGGAGGAGCCTCGGAGCGCGCCGCCGGGCGCCAACGGGCACCCGCCGCCCAGCCTGCAGCACCCGGCCGCCTGTGCCCACCAGCACGCCGGCTACCGGCCCAAGGTGCCGCTGGAGAGGCAGGACAGCATGAGCTCCTCCAAGAGGGGCAGCGTGGTGGGGAGGAACCTCAACCGCTTCTCCTGCTTTGTGCGCTCCGGCGTCGAGGCCTTCATCCTGGGTGATGTGCCCCTCATGTCCAAGATTGCGGAGCTCTATTACATCGAGATGGGCTCCAGAGGTCCCCAGTGGAGGGCCAACCCACACCCCTTCATCTGCTCTGTGGAGGACCCCACCAAGCAAACCAAGTTCAAGGGCATCAAGAGCTACATCTCCTACAAGCTGACCCCCAGCAACATCAACTCGCCTGTCTACCGGCGCTACAAGCACTTTGACTGGCTCTACAACCGCCTCCTGCACAAGTTCACGGTGATCTCGGTGCCCCACCTGCCTGAGAAGCAAGCCACGGGGCGCTTCGAGGAGGACTTCATCGAGAAGCGCAAGCGGCGGCTCATCCTGTGGATGGAGCACATGACAAGCCACCCCGTCCTCTCGCAGTACGAGGGCTTCCAGCACTTCCTCTGCTGCCGCGACGAGAAGCAGTGGAAGCTGGGCAAACGGCGGGCCGAGAAGGACGAGATGGTGGGCGCCAGCTTCCTGCTTACCCTCCAGATCCCCACGGAGCACCAGGACCTGCAGGACGTGGAGGACCGCGTGGATGCCTTCAAGGCCTTCAGCAAGAAGATGGACGACAGCGTCCTGCAGCTGACCAACGTGGCCTCGGAGCTGGTGCGCAAGCACGTCGGGGGCTTCCGCAAGGAGTTCCAGAAACTGGGCAACGCCTTCCAAGCCATCAGTCACTCCTTCCACATGGACCCGCCGTACAGCTCGGACGCCCTTAACAACGCCATCTCCCACACAGGCAAGACGTACGAGACCGTGGGGGAGATGTTTGCCGAGCAGCCCAAGAATGACCTGTTCCTCATGCTGGACACTCTCTCTTTGTACCAGGGGCTCCTCTCCAACTTCCCAGACATCATCCACCTCCAGAAAGGTAAGAGGACCGTTCTCCAGGGAGTGCATCCTTTCCCCCTGACACCGGGACAGCCTGTCCTCGCATGGCACCGTGTGTCTTGGGGACATGGGGTAGAGCCCAGTCCCTTGCAAGGGTCTGTCGGCGGCATGTGGGATGCGGATGTCCCACCGTTCTCCCCCCGGATGGACGGAGGGGAGGCACTGAGCCTGCTGGGGACAGCCAGGCCTGCGTCACTCCAGGACATATCCCTGCCCCGTGGGAAGCCGGACAGTGGGATGAGCGCCCTGGGGACCCGGTGTTGGTCGTGCGTGGGGAGGCCAGGGAGGACTGTGACACCTGGGCGGAGGTGCCTGCTCCGGGCCAGGCTGTGGGCCGGTTTCAGGGTGTTTTCCAGGTGTGCCACCTGTGGCGGGGCCAAAGTCCATACACTCAGCCCAGCCGGGAAACACCTCCTCCTGGCTCCAAAGCACAGCTGGGGAGCATGGCGCTGGCCCGGAGTGGGACCGGCCGCGTCCTCGCCTTCCCCCATGCCTGCTTGTGCATCCACAAGGGATGAGGGGCTGGATCCGGGACGGAACTGGGGCAGAATGGAAGGCAGGATTTGGCCTCCAACCTCACCTTCCTTGGAGCTCCTGCGTGCTCCGCTGCAGAGCTGCTGCCGTGCTCCCGACCAGGGCGGGCAGAGGGGCAAAGCCCCACGGCTCCTGCTCCCGTTCCAGCCCATCTCCAAGCACGCAGCCGGGGGGAGGAGCGTGGGCAGAGAGCCAGCCCAGATTCTTTCGAAACCGAGCCATAAAAATCAGCAGGAAGAGGAGAAAACTGGTGTCGGAGCATCATCCCATCACAGAGGGAAGGCTGTTTCCCAACTGGCTCTGGCTAAGCTCCAAGGAAAACTCATTGCCTCTCTCCTGGGGTCCTCAGTGAGCGCCCTGTCCCCTGGGCCTGGCCGTAGCGTGGATCCCGAGCGCCTCGTAACCTTCCCAGTGATGGGGCAGGACTTGGGAAGGAGAACGGCAGAGGCTCGCGATCCGGGAGGCCGAAGCTGACGGCTTTCCCCTAAATAACCCCAGCACTGCGACATGGCTCCCGTGGTTTGCCGGCACTCAGCTCCAGCTGCGCCGTATTTGTGGCTGGCAAAAACGGAGATTCCTGACGTTTTTTTGGTCACGAACAGGAGCCTCTGTTTTGCACAAGCCGCATCTCCCCTTTCCCTGACCCTGCCTCTCCACAGGCGCTCCCGAGGAGCTTTTCCAGGTGTCCAGGTCAGCTCTGGGCATCCATGTGGCCACATCCAGCCCTGCTGGAGCTCTAGGCAAAGCCCGGGCTTACCCCTGCGCTGGGATGCTGCAAGGTCAGCGGTCTCTCACGCTTTCCCCATGCCCCCCTTGGCAGGTGCCTTCGCCAAGGTGAAGGAGAGCCAGCGGATGAGCGACGAGGGCCGCATGGACCAGGATGAGGCGGACGGCATCCGCAAGCGCTGCCGCGTGGTGGGCTTCGCCTTGCAGGCCGAGATGAACCACTTCCACGAGCGCCGCGTCGCTGACTTCAAGAGGATGATGCAGTCCTACCTGAAGCAGCAGATCATCTTCTACCAGCGCGTGAGCCAGCAGCTGGAGAAGACCTTGCGCATGTACGACAGCCTCTAGGTGGGCCTGGCACACCCGCGCGCTGCCCTTCAGCAATCACGCACTTTCCGACCCGGAGCCTCGCACGCCACCTCTGTGATGGACTGAGAACGAACGGCAACTCGTGACGCTAGTGACCAAATAACCTTTGGGCTTCATTCCGTCTTCTCGGGCCCGGCAGGCGGCCAAGCCACAGGGAAGGGATTGTGCGTCCGTCTCCCGCGGGCCGTCCGGCCTCTTTCCCCGGGAATGGCTGTCCCATCCCTGTGACAGGGAATTTTCCGTGGAGAAGGGACATTGGGATAACAATGCTGGTAGCTCTGTCTAGTGATTCTTAGCTTTCTGGGCACCTGTCCTCCCGGAACAGAGAGGTGGGTATGTTCCAGCCCCGTGGGACCAGGAATCGAAGCAGTCAACGTTTTGCACACTACAAGCTTTTCTGATGGATAAAAGAAAAGATCTTTATTTAGAAGAGGTATTTTTTTGCCCACAAAATATTTTCGATACTTTCCATTTTTCGCGAATGTTTCTGCCGCCTTTTTACCGATCAGTTTTTAATAGACGCACAGAGGCAAACGGAAATCTCTTTCTCAAGCACGCCTGTTAACTGGGATAAAGGAGAAAAAAGCCAAAAAAAAAAAAACCCCAACCCACAGCATTTTCAATAAAATCATCGGTAGAAAAAAACACAACATCCCAGAAACGTCTGTGGAAAATGGAGCTGCTCCAGGTTCCCTRGGAAGGGACCACGGGGGGGAGCAGGGGATGCTTGTCTGAGCATCCCACTGGGATTTAGCCATCTTTTAGGGAAAGGAAGCCGTGCCGTGGGCGTGGGGAGGCTGCATCCCGGCGAGGCTCCCGGGACCTGCYGTTCCTCGCCACGGGCACAGGAAGCTCCCACGGCCAGCAGGGCTGGAGGTGCCCACGCCGCTTTCCCTGGGGACCTGGCTCCGGGCTCCTTCTTTTCCAAGAAGTCTGGAAAAAAAAAAACAAGAGGGAGGAAAACCGAGGCCCGCTTGGCGATGCGCCAGGGATAAAATAAGTCTGAGCGCAGAGGCCGACCAGGCCTGGCCCGTTTTTGGGGGGGATCRGGGGACCCACAGCCTATCCTGGGATGTGAGGACTCCAGGCTGCCTCGGCCCTGAGAACCTGCTTCCCATTAACATTCCTGCCTTTTCCGCCTGCGGCCTGGCAGCGGGCGTGCTGGGGCCCAGCCTCCGCTGCCCGGCTCGGCCTCCGCGGCTCCTCCGCAGCCTTGGGAAGAGGAAAAACGCCCAGTTTTCCTTTGGCTGCTGCCTGACACTGCTGTCCAGTCATGCCGGAGGCTCCCTCTTATCTTGCTTCCTTTGCTCCACTCCAAAGGGCCAACCCCGTGAGCCGGGCAGCGGTTCCCGGAGGGAAAGGAAGCGGGAATGCTGGAAGGAATTTGCACTGCAAATCCTAGCGCTCCTTCTTCGGKGGCTTCCGAGCTGCGACTGCCTGCGGCCTTTGGGCCTCTTGGCCTGAAGCTGGGCCRGGAATCAAGTTCTCCCTGTTTGCGGAACGCCCCCATTCGCGCAGTTCCCGGAGAGGATTTCAAAGCGAGCGCTGCTCTCCTCCAAAACCTGTTTGGCCGATTATTACTTGTTCGCAGTTGAATCCGTGCCTGGGAACGGGTCCCCGGTGGCCTCGCCCGTGTCCGGAGCCGTGTGCCCGTCCCTCGCTGCGCGGCCGTGCCAGGCACGGCGCGGGCCGAGCGCGGTGCTTGGGGACGGCTGGCACGGAGGGATGTGCTGAGAGCGGCCGCGCTCCTGGCGGATGCCGCGTTGCCTCGGGAACAGCCGCGGCGTTTCCGGGCCTGTTAAAGGAAACGCGGCCACCCCGCTCCCGGCTCCTGCGCTTTTTGCCTTTGCCTTTTCTCGGCCCATCCCTCGCTCCGTCACAGCGGGATGAATCACCGCAGTGCTTTACCTGCCCTCCATGGATGCATGCGGAGGTGCGGGGCTCCTTGTGTGCCTGCATCCTGCCTGTCCTTGGGTGCTCCCAGGGCCTCCGCTGCCCTTCCCTYGGCACACGGGCCAGCCGGGACATGCCCGGGACACAGGGATGTCCCCGTGCTGCCCCGGCTCCCGTCCCTCCCRCACGGCCCCTGCCGGCAGCCACGTGCTCCGGCTCATCCTGGGAAAAGCACATCCTCTGACGGCTTTTTCCAGGTTCCCTGCCTGGCCTCCGCTGACCCCAGAAGTGCTTGCTTCCCGGCAGCGGGAATATAACCACCTGCTTTAAAAATAACCCGCTGCATCTTGCAGGCTGGCTGCAAAGTGGGCCATGTTCCAGCTCTGCAGCGGCGAGGGGGAAAGCAGGGCCCGTGGGAGAATCCTGTGGTGCCGGGAGTAGGGAAGCTGCCGGGCTGGGAAGAGGGATAGCACATGGGCAGTGGGCCCTGGTTTTCTTTGAGGTTAGAGGGGGGAAATGTGAAGGAATTGCTTTTTTTTTTGCAGCAGTTTTGTGATGAGCCCTGATGACATTCTCATCTGGAGCAAGGCAGGGTGTTTTTGTTGGGTTGCCTCCTGAGCTCAGGGCTCAGTTTTTCCCCTGTTCTTCCCTGGGTATTTCCTAGCTCCGTTATTACGCTGTCAGTCCGAGGAAACATTGAGCAAGAGCCCAGAGCTTGGCCCATTCCCCCTGCAATGATGCTCTGCATCACAGCGGGCACAAGGGAGGGCTGGCGAGGACGAAGAGACAAGGGAGCTGCCTCCAGACAACACCTCCCGCGAGGCACCTCGGAAAAGGCACTTTATTCTGGTTTACATCTGCCATGTGGGAATACACGGTGAGGAACCAGGCCCCCTTCCCTGTGCTCGGCCCRCACTGCTCGGCGGGACGCACAGTGGGTGCCTGGAGCGAGTCGGTTTTTCCGGAGGGGTGGGGACTCCGCAAATTCCCTTGGCATCGGCCGCCGCGKTTTTTTTCCAAGCCTCCCGCCAGCGACTCGGCCCGCCTCGCCCCGGGGAATTTGGAGCGTCCATCCCAAGCCTGACTCAGTGCAAATTGCTCCTCGGCCTCCCTCTTGCACCGGGAGCCGCAGCGAACGTGCATGTGGGACGGCACCGGTCCCAGCCGCAGCCCCGCGCGAGCCGTCCGAGCCACGTCCAACATCCCGTGAGCGTCTGTGGGGTACTGGAGCAAGCGCTGCCCTCTCATCTGCCATTTGGGTGGTCAAGAGGCAACCCAAGAAAACCGTTTTCTAGGGCTGCTGTGGTGCCACATCCCCCCTGCCCTGCTCACCTCTGCAGCAACCCCTTCCCTGCCCCAAGCCGCCTCTGCAGCCCTGGCTCCTCCGGCCTCCCTTGGAGGAGGACCAGGAAGAGGATGGAGGTGCTCAGGGCAAGTGGAGAGGCCGCGGGGTCCTGGCTGGGGTCGATGTGGCCGCTCGCCTCTGCGCYGGGCCCTTCACACCCAGTACTGGTTGTTCTTCAAGGCGGGGTTTGAAGTCCGGCAGTGCTGGAGGAGCTCGGGGTCCTGCGGCGCGCTGGGAGGACCCGCTCCCTTGGCCTCCAGGGAGTTCACAGTCGTTAGGGGGATGCCTTGGTTGGGGTCCGTCTTGCGGAAGGTCTCCTGGTCGGGCACGGCGCCGTTCCTCGCCTTGGCCGCCGGCGTGCCCTGCACGTGGTGCTTGCCCGTCTTGTTGCGCTTGTGCAGGTAGAAGAGCAGCGGCAAGATGAGGGCCAGCAGGAGGAAGATGAGGCAGATGGGGATGATGACGCTGAACATGTTGGCCTCGATGAAGCCGAGGAAGGTGCTGCCCTCCGCAGGGCTGGGGCTGCTTGTGGCACCCTGGCCCGGCGAGGCGGTGGCGGGGACGCCTGGCTCGCTGGCGTTGGGGCTGCTCCGCGCCGGGCCCCAGGGCTGGGGGCCCGGCGTGTGTGGCAAGGGCGCCCGCGGGGTCGCGAGCAGCATGACACCGTAGGCTTTGGAGGCGTTATATGGCTCGGTGGCATACACCAGGGACGCCAGTGCCGGTGGCACGCCGGCGGCCGCAAGTTCGAAGACGAAGCTGTCGTTCTGCAGCGGCTGCTCGGCCTCCGCGGCGTCCAGCACCTCCAGACCGACCAGCCCTTGCTCCAGCTCCAGCTGGCTGAAGGTGGTGACTGGGAGGCTGCGTTGCCCCGCGTCTCTTGAGACCAGCACGACACGGCTGCTTCGAGGAGCTCTGCGGATTTTAAATACTGGGATGTCCTTAGTGCGGTTGGCCAGTTCGCTCGCGTCGAGGATGCTGGTGTCCAGCAGCGCTGTGSTGCCCCTGGGCCACAGGCTCCCTGGCTGAGCCTTGACCCAGGCCTTGACGGTCACRTTCACCACCCCGGTCCTGTTTGTTGCCTGGGATGTGGCCAGGAAGTGGAATTGGTCCTCCGGGGAGGAGAAGTTGGTGAAAGTGAAAGTCACTTCCCCTTGATCCAGCTGCTTCTGTGAGAAAGCCCGCACCGGCCTTTGGTTGACTTGCACTTGGCCAAACTTTGGGCCCTTGGTGATCCTGTAAAGGACATCCTGTTGCCCTAGCTGGACAGCTCCCAGGAGGTGATTCCGGGACATGGGGGCCTTGTTCAGGCCCTGTGATACTTCCAGTGGCACGAGGCGTCCTGGGCTTGTCGCCGCAGGCAGCACCGTGATTTCCAGAGAGGTCAGAGTGGGTGGATGGTGGCCATCAGAGACGCTCAGGACTAAGGACTCGGAGGAACGGCTCCCAGCGGCCACAAATACCACGTGGCCTGCGTTGACATCTGCTTGGGTGAAGTGGTCGATAGGCACCTGGTGATCATCCGTGCGGGCCAGGTAGCCGCCAAGGGGGTTCTGGAGGAGGCGGTATTCCATCTCTTCTGGGGAACTATCTGTGCTGGCTACATTCAGATACTGCGGGGACAGYGGCACCCAGGAGCCCGCGAGGACCYGCAGYGCTTCTCGGCGTTTCACCACCTGCGGTGGCTTCTTGCTGCTCGTCACTGTTATATTGAAAGCTTCCGAAATGACCACCCCTTCATGGGGAGGGTGAATGGACTGCTCTGCACGGGGCCGGAGCCAAGCCTTGAATTGGAAATGGTCTCCAGGAGCACCGTCCCCATGGTGGGCGTATACCAGGCGCCCCGCATCCAGGTCTGACTGCAGGAAGAAGGGATGTGCCCTGTCCACGGGCACCCCGGCCACCCAGAGCTGTCCCTGCCTGGGCGGCGCCGTGACGAGGAACACGACATCGTGCGTAGCCCTCTCCGGGCCTGGCGCTTGGCTCAGCATGTTGGAGGCATCCAGCACGGATGTGTTGATCTCCGCCCTTTGAGCCTTCCCAACGCTGAGGCCTGGGGGAAAAAAATAATAAAAYAAAGAGAGAAAATCCAGAGTCCTGTGAGTATGGGGAAGAGCCAGGCAAGGGATTTGCTGGAGGACACAGAGGATGTGAGCAAAGCCAGGAGAGTGTGGTATAGGGGAGAGGAGAGAGAACAGGCGTAAAGAAATGGAGTGGGGAAGAGAGGAGAAACGGGAAGCAATTTGTTAGCCTGGCAGGGCCATGGGGAAAGAGTTTTGCAGGAAGACGCAGGACAGAGGTTAAAGCAGCTTKTTAGGCATTACTTGGCATGATGCTGGAGCTCATGCTTGGAGGGGCCCAGGGAAATGGGACGGTCCTCTTCCTTGGACAGATGAGCTCCAAGTTACCTCCTTGGGAAAGCTTGATTGTCCTTTCGTTTCCTCCAGGCCAGCCTTTACGGGCCTGGCAAGCTACAACCTGAGCCTTTCATTTCCTTACCTGCATTTCTCCAGAGCTGAGTCGGGCGCTGGGGGCACCTCGCCTCGAACGATATGAGCACGGGGAGGATGAAGGAATCAGAGATGGCCGTGGGAGCGACCACGCGGAAGCGAATGGCATCCTGGGCGAGCCAGAACGGCTGTGTTGGCATCTTGTGCTCGTAGACGATCATCCCGCTATCCAGCTGGCGGGAGCAGAAAACAACCACCTTGGCTGAGCGTGGCGAAGGCCCGTGCCCGCCTCTCGTCTCAGCCCTCTGCGGGGCTGCACAGGCTCCCCGTGGAGACATGCCCACGCGCGGCAGGGCTCACCTGGGCCTGGCTGAAGTTCCTGGCCTCGCYGCCGCCGGGGGACACACGCAGGTGGCCCAGGCGCGGCGCCTGCTCCATGCTGTAGTAGAGGCTGGCAGCGGGCGCYCCTCCGGCCACCGCCTGCAGGTTCTCACTTGTGACGGGCTGCCGGGCGCCTGCGGAGTGGAGCCAACGCTCAGACCCACAGTGAGGCCACCACATCGCCCTTCCACCCCGTGGATATACCTACCTGGGCACACGGTGAGGCTCTGCTTCCTGGCGAGACCCACGCGGGCCTCCCTCTGTGCCCGCACTACAAAGAAGTGCCCGGCCGAGAGGTTCTCGCCATCCGACAGGGCRAAGGCGAAGCCGCCATCCAGGGGCCCTGCGGACAGTGTGGAGCTGTGCAGACACCCCAGGCAACGCGGACGCGCGCCCGGGTCGCGGCTGCCCCTGCGCCATCCCTACCGTGGTGCACGAAGTGGAGGAGGCCGCGGTCGATGTGGGCCTGACTGAACTGCCGCACCTCGGTGCCGGGTGCTGCCCGCAGCACCAGCTTCCCGTTGGCCGGCGGCTCCACTGAGTAGACCACATCCTCGGGCGCCGAGTCCCCGTCTTCGGCGCGCAGCAGCTGCGGTCCGATGGCTGCAGTGCCACCTTCCTGCATCTGGGGCAGCGGGAGAGGTTACGTGACGCCAGCCACCCCGCACGGACCCACCACTCCTGCCCCGGGATCCTGCACGTGTCAACAGCAGCCGCYGGCCCTGTTAGCTCACACTAGCTCGCCCGTCTTATTTTTTTCAACTGGCCTATCCCAAAACATTGCGAGAGTGGGTGTGGGTGTGGAYAGTGGAATTAAATCCATTGGCAGCTGCCTCGGAGCCAGGGAAATGTCCCCATGGCCGCGCAAAGCGAGGCAGCTGCAGCAGGCACCAACGCTGAGGTGGCCCACGTGTGCCCGGCTCCGTGTCTTGGAGCTGCGCGTCCCCACTGAATTATTCAGGCCTTGCTGCTCCAGTTACCCGCTCCCTGTGTTTGCTCAGGCTCTGTGTCGCTCTCCACAGCAATCCGTGTCCTGGAGCTGGCTTGACCTTTCCACGGTGAAGTCATCCCTTACAAGAGCACAAACACATGCATGCCCTGGTGTCTCCCGAGTACTGCTCCGCTTCAGCGCTCCACTATCTCCAAGGCAAGGAACTGATTGCTCTGCTCCTGAGCCCCTCCTAGGGCTCATGCTTAGGACCAGGAGCATTTGCAGGCACTCAGTTGCCCTTAGTCAGGTACAGAGCGGGAGGGTTGATAAGTGCAATGGAGAGGCAGATGGATCTGTGCCTCTGTAATGGGGGAACAGTTTATCTGGAGGCCTTTCCCATACTTCTAACCTTTTTGGTTTAGCAACATGCCTGGGAGGGGAGCAGGAACTGGGMGGGGAGGCGCTATCCTAGAGCCCAACAGCCACAGGGTTAACCTTCTGCTGCCTGGAGTGTAGGGATTTYGGGGACAGCTGCAGCAGATAACGGAGCACCCTTAGTGCACTATATAAGAAGCCTGTTCTCCTCCCTGCCTACGTTCTCCTTTCTGTTGGCCACCTCCTCCAGAGTCCTGCCAAGATGAGCAGGCCCTTGGGCACCTTCTGGATATCACAGCACCCAGCTGGGCTCTGCTTGACGTAATCACCTGCTTTCCTTGCTGCTGGCCCTCTAATACCCAGGGATGCTGCGATGGTGGGCTTGAAAGCAGAGAACGATCCTACTGGACTGCTACGTCCACACACTTTCCAACTACGTGTATTTTCTAACCGTGARGCTTGGGGCAGCAGGCGCGGCTGAGCTGCTCCTGCCCTAGCTGGTCCCATCAGGGTGATCTAAGGCCACTGCTGAGGACGGAGAGGCGAGCACAGATGGAGGCCAGGGAAGCCGATCAGCCCACGGGGCGTTCCCAGTCTCTCCCTAAGATGATCCCTGTGCTTGCAGCCATAACTCTGGGAAGGAGGGAGGATGACGCTGCTGTGGGCTGGGCGCTGGAGAGCTGTGCTCTGGGCTGCTCCGGCTCTGGAGTGGTGACGTTTTAATTCCAGAGCGGGCTGTGGGGCTCGTGGCGGAGGCGGATGCCGGAGGAGCCTGCGTGGGGATGCTCCCATCTTGTGGACGACTTCAGCATCGCCAGCAAGAGGAAGATCAATGCAGCAGCCAGCAGGCCCAGAAGCTGGGAATTCCACCTGGAATGTTGCCTGGACCCGCAGGAAAGGTCTCTGTGAATCCCTCCCCGCAGCTGTGTTACCTGCAGGCCAGCATTGACGCGCAGCCGGGGGCCCTGGCTGCGGCGGGGCAGGATGCTGACGAAGACGGTGCGAGGCTGGCTGTGGCGGTTGACGGCTGTGGCGTTGGCCAGGAGGGTGAAGCTGTCACCTGGGGCCTGGGGACCATCCTGCCGGTACTGGATGAGTCCGTTCTGCACCTGTGGGCAGGGACAGCATGAATACTCTGTCATAGAGAGGCAGGGAGGTCAGCTGCCTGAGAGGGACTGGTCTGGTGCAAAGCTGGGGAGGGTTCCTCTCCTGGCACCCATCGTGGGTGCTCTGCCCACTGCCTTCCTCCCTGCATCCCAAGCCAGCTCTGATGTGATGCAGAGGACCGAYTCTGCTCTGGTTCTTCCAGAACCATCTAAACACCCACTGGCTACGCTGCTAAGGTCCAAACTGTTCCCGTGTGCCCTGTCTGCAGTGCAGCCCCGCGGTGTCGACCCTCCCGTACCTCGCTCCAGGTGAACATGCGCAGCCCGTGCTCCTGGGGCTGCTGGCGCTTCTGCAGGGTGCCGAACCTGGGGGGCTCCAGCACCCTGAACTCCACACCAASGGCTGCAAAGTAGGTGCTAGGGATGCTGAGGATTTCGGCGGAGAGCGTGGCGGAGCTGCCCCCTGGCACTGTGAAGTTGCGGACGTGCAGGGGGACCGCAATGGGGAGCACGGCCAGGCTCACTACGACCCCCTGCAGTGGATCTGCCCCCCTGGCTGTGATGTCCACGACGAAGCGATCACGCGGCTCCTCCGGCTTGGAGTGCAGATAGAGCACTCTGCCGCTGTTGATGTCCTCCTGGGTGAAGGACTGGATTGGATCCAAGCTGGGTGGCTCATTCAAMTCTTGGCCGTGCTGAACCATCACTAGGAAGCCTGAGACTGGKGGGCTGGTCACCAGGTAGATGATGTCCTGGGGAGGGATCTCCTCATGGGCAACCTGAGTGTGCAAGGAGACACAGGGTGAGCAATGGGTCCRTGCACCTCCCCAGCCATAAACACCTCAAATAAACCTCTCCGGTAATAGCTGTGCAAAGATGAAGACCAGCCTTGTTTGCCACAGCTCTGGGATACACACCTCATAATGGCCACATGGGTCCTTTAGAAGCTGATACAGCTTCTGCTCAGCTGCTCTGGCTGTTCCTAGAGCAAAATTAAACCAGGCCTGTCCTGGAATTACTGCAGTGACAGTTAGAAACATCCTGGAAATGGAAATGCCAAGCAGCCTTGGGGAGGCATGACCGTGGGCACCTGCTCTTGCTCTGCACCGGTGTGCAGTGTTAGRTGCAGGGACATTCACCATGCAAGTCATGACTCTACCTTAATAAATAGCCCTATAAAGAAGGGATAAGGAAGAGCTACGGAACTACTTCTGCCTTTCTCTCATACATTCCTCTCATAACAAGGAGGTATCCAAGGAGGTACCACAGAGTGGGACCACAGGCTACATCAAAGGCATGTCCTCCAGTACTGAGCATGGGTGGAGTTTGGAAATGCCTCCTTTGGGACCTGGAGCTTCCCTTTAATTTTTTGAAGGTGCTTTGGGCAAGTCAGTGCTCTGTTCTGGGTGATCTGCTTGCATTGATGGGTTTCCAACCCATCAGCAGGATGTTTTAGCCTTCAAGGAAGGTTTTCCAGGGTCTATGAGCAGGAGGTGGCTTCCCCTTGCTTTGTAACCGAAGTGGAGGTGCTGGCTTGGGGAATGATTAGAAAGTAGGATACTCACTGATAAGTGCTCTTCCTTGATTTCAGCTGCTTCTCCTTGGAAGACATGTATCTCCTTTAGGTTCATAATGCGCAGGGGGTTGGGATGGGTGTCCAAGAACACAGTGATGGCCAACGTGTCATCCACCACCACCTTGTTTGCTTCCACAGTGAACTGGAACTCATCCTGGGCATTCCTGCTCCCATTGTGGCGGTAAGCAATCTCTCCTGCTAGGAGATCCCTTTGAGAGAAAGCCATGACTGGCTGCTCCCCTCTCAGCACAGTCCCCCACCGTGGGGGAGCAGTTATCAGGAATCGTATCTCTTCATCAGACCTGATGTCCATGTTGGTCTCCAGGTTGAGGACAGAGGAGTCAATACGCCTTTGGCCCCCTTGGTGGATGGCCAGGCCAGTGTTGTTGACTATTTTGATGTAGGGGTCTGAAGCCTGAACTTCCAGGAGGGCAGTAGTTTGGTGGAGGCCGTCTGAGACTTGTAGCTGAATCCAGCCACGGTCCGCCCCTGAATGGACGAACAGGATCTTTTTCTTCCTCAAATCATCCTGTGTGAACCTATAGACTTGGTGGTTTCTGTCATCGACAGAGACGATGCTGCCAAACAGAATATCCTTCCTTGCCAGCACCAGCTGCGTATCTGAGAAGCCGGAGTCCTTATCGGTGAAGGCGATATCATCCGTTGTCAGGAGGTGCTGTCCATTGCGCACCACATTGAAAACCTTGTTCACCACCTGGACAGGAGGGTGGTCGTTGACAGGTTGGATGGATACTCTGAAAACACCTCTCACCTCCTCTGCATCAGGCTCGGTGCTGCCCTCGTCCTGCTTGATCGCTACAAAGGGGATATCGTCCTCCAGGGTCTCAGAGTCGTCATGCTGGTAGAGCAGTCTGCCCCGGAGGATGTCCTCATTGGTGAACTCTGTGATCTCCTCACTGGAGGACCAGCCTTGGGATGTGGCCCAAGCCAGCCTGCCGTGCGCTGGCCCTTCAATTACTTCATAGAGATAGTCCATGCTATTAAGGCTCTGCACAAACAAGTGGTCCCTGGAGATGATGGCCTGCCCACCTTCTGGCACAGACAGAAGGACATTGGTCAGGGCTGGTGCATCAGGGTCCCCGCCTATACTGATTGTGTAGGTGTACACAGGAGAGTGCTGGTCCCCAGCACGGATGCGAAACTGGAAGGTGTCCTCAGCTTGCCTGGAGTTCCTGATGGTTGCACTGTAGCTTAGATGGTTTCTTTGCAGGTCATCTTGGGTGAATCCGAAGCCTTCAGTCAGCCTGTTGCCAAGCAACTCCAAGTTTCCCTTTTTGGGAGCCTGGATTATTACATATTGGAAAGAGACTGGGGGAGCATTTGGATCTTCCAACATTGCCTCCAGTTCCTTACTGGTGATGTTTTTGTGCCGCTTGTTCTTCATCTGGAGAGGGATCATGGTTCTCATCTTAATGGTAGCTCTTTTGATCCTGATGAGGAAAGTGTTGTTTTGCAAAATCTTCTGTCCAACCTGAACCTTGAATCTCATCTTCTCCACGACATCTTCCAACCAGTGCTCTGGATCTGTGCTGAAATACTGGATGCGTCCTTGCTCCAGGTCTTGCTGGTGGAAAGACTCAACTTTTTTCCATTCCCCTCCCACACTCCCTTGTTTCTGGACTTCACCGTACCTGAGAGGCTCCATGAGACCATACAGGATGGCAACATTTTGTTTCACGGCGTTTGTCTCCACTGATAGGTTGGCTGTAGTAATGCGTGCAGCCCCTCCTTGGGAGACAAAGAGGCCAGTGTTGTTGTGCACGCGGATGTCAGGCTCTATAGCAAGGATCTTCAGGGTGGCCATGGGGCTTGGGACAGATCCATCGCTCACTTGAAAGGTGAGCTGCAGATTTGTCCCACTCTGGTGCACGTAGACTATGTTGCCTGCTTCCAAGTCCCTGCAGGAAAACTCTTCAATGGGCACTCCGGGGTGAAAGTCATACTCTACATAACCGTCCTCCATCAGTCGGCTTCCATGCAGCTGAAATTCAAGATCATCGCAGGAAGTGTCATCATCCAAGGCCTGCAGGATGTCTGTGGTCAGATGCTTCCGTGTGTGCTTCAGGATTGTCATGTGATCCCCGTGAGGGAATATCACCTGAGGGGCATCATTGATGGGGTTGATCATTATGGGCAGCAGGTACATCTGTCCTTGCCGCAGACACTCGGGGATCCCTTGCTGGGCAGTTACAGTTACCTCCAGCATCAGTTGGTCCATGGGTCCTTCAGAGCCATCGTGGATGTATCTGACTTTTCGATTCACAATATCTAGTAAAGTAAACTTCCTTCTGCTCCTGGATCCAGGGACATCCAGCTCCAGATGCCCATGCCTAGGGTCATTGGTGATGCTAAAGAGGATTTGGGACTGCCGAATGTTTGCAAGGTTCAAGTCTATCGTCGGCTGGGCATGTTTCCACTCCAAGAAGGCTGCTCCTCCTTCTGAGACAATGAGGGGGCTGACGTGCAGCAGTCTGCTGATGTTGGCAAAGGCGGGAGGGAAGCTGTTGTCCGGCCTGCATGGTTCTGCCACCAGGCCGGGGGCTCCCTGCCAGATATCAGGAGGAGGGGAGGTGGGTGCCTCATCCTGTTCGTATACTTCATCATATTCCCAGTACTGCTCCTGCTTTCCACAGCCAGATGTAATGTCCTTGGTGATCACAGCATCTTGCAGACTCCTCCTCTGCARGTTTATCCTCAGGTCCTCCAAGCAGCCAACAAACGAGTTGTTTGTTGTGCTCCCCACTGACATGAAGGCAARGTCGTGCTCCCTCAGCCTTTGCAAAGCCTTTTCATTCATACCTCCAATGAAGAGGTTCCCCTGAAGGTCCAGATAGTTGTTGATGCCCCGGTTCGATGTGGCTGAGGCGTAGTAGTCAATTAGTATCTCAAGCTTGTGGACATCCGTGTGGACTTTAACATAATGCTGCTGCTCATCGCTGATGAAGATGTTGTTGTGCAGGACGATGATGCCATTTCCCTTCTCGACAAAACCTCTCAGGCGTCCATTGGAGATTTCCAGGTAGAAGAAGTCATTCTCCAACCCAGCATGGTAGATGAGCGGTGCTTGGGTTATGCTTGTTGTTATCACAAATTCAATGGTCCCTTCTTCTTTTGCGTTCCAGGTGGGAAACGCAATGTAAGAGTGTGGTCCTAGGAACCCAAAAGGGTCATCAGGTTCAGCAGAGAACTGCGTACTGCACCCCTCTTGAACCCGGTGGAATATCTTGGAGCTACTGTCAGAAGTCGGAGGGGAGAGGACATCCAGACCATTGAATGTCACCAAGTGGAGGCAACCTCTGAAGGGAGAACTGGACCCAGAAAGATATGGCAGGTCAAGGATCCCTGTCCCACCTGCGTAGAGGCCATACTGAATGTCCAGCTCTCGTACGGGTCCCATAATGTCCACAGAGCTGTTAAAGAGGTTGTCAATGGTCAGCATCATCCTACCATCTTCCACTAACAGCACCACATCATGCTTTGCCAGGTTGTTGAGCTGCAGTTCTGCTGGGGACTGTAACATCACCTCCTCTGAGCCCAACYGCAGCCTGGCCTGCAAGGGAGAGCAAGAAAAAACGGGAACTAGAACCTCAGCTCAAGCAGGACGGTATCTGGGGAAACAAAGATGGTTGTGGCTGGCTTATATCTTGAGAACCCCATTTGCAGAACAGGCTGCTGAGACTGCAGAACATCAGCTCTGAATCAGCTTGGGAGGTAGCCTTGAGGTTCTCTTTCTACACCAGTGTCTGTGCTGAGCCTAGCTCTGTAGGACTACGAGATCAGAGCCTCTCTCACTTGTCCCTTCTGGTGCCCTGGCAGGTTGGCCCCATCTCTGAGGACCTGGCCTCAAAACTGGGACCGTGAGCTCTTCATAGACCTGTCCCTGTACATGAGCAGAAGCAGGTGCATTCCCAGGGCTTAGACAAACCTGAACAGTGAAATCCAAAGAGCCCACCTCTATACCTGGCTGCACCCCTCTCCCCACCACTCTCCGTGTTCCTCTCACTTCTTCACTCCATGTTCCCCTCACTTCCTCTCACTTCAGCAAGACTTTTGACACCGTTCCTCACAGCATCCTCCTGGGCTAGCTCCGAAGGTGTGGGATAGATGAGTGGACGGGGAGATGGATTAGGAATTTGCTCAGTGGCAGGGTGCAGAGAGTGGTAGTCAGTGGCACAGAGTCTAGTTGGAGACCTGTAGTTAGCGGTGTCCCCCAGGGGTCGGTCCTCAGTCCGGTCTGTTCAACTTATTCATTAACGACCTGGATGAAGGGCTGGAGTGCTCCCTCAGCAAGTTTGCTGATGATACCAAACTGGGTGGAATAGCTGATAGCCCTGAGGGCTGTGCTGCCATCCAGAGGGACCTGGACAGACTGGAGGACTGGGCGGCGAGAAACCTCATGAAGTTCAACAAGGGCAAGTGCARGGTCCTGCACTTGGGGAGGAATAACCCTGGACACCAGTACAGATTAGGGGTGGACCTGCTGGAGAGCAGCCCCGCAGAGAGGGACCTGGGCATCGTGGTGGATGACAAATTGACCATGAGGCAGCAGTGTGCCCTGGTGGCCAAGAAGGCCAACGGGATCCTGGGGTGCATTAAGAARAGCGTCTCCAGCAGGTCGAGGGAGGGGATCGTCCCTCTCTACACAGCCCTGGTGAGGCCACATCTGGAGACTGTGTCCAGTTCTGGGCTCCCCAGGACAAGAGGGATGTGGAGCTGCTGGAGAGAGTCCAGCGCAGGGCTACGAGGATGATCAGGGGCCTGGAACATCTGCCCTGTGAGCAAAGGATGGGAGAGCTGGGCCGGTTCAGCCTGGAGAAGAGAAGGCTGAGGGGGCACCTGATCAGCGTGTATAAATACCTCAAGGGAGGCAGTGAGGAGGAGGGGGAGGCCTCTTTTCAGTGGTGGCCAGCGATAGAACTAGAGGAAACGGCCACAAGCTGARGCACCAAAAGTTCCACAGGAACTTAAGGAAACACTTTTTGACAGTGAGGGTGACAGAGCCCCGGAACAGGCTGCCCAGAGAGGTTGTGGAGTCTCCTTTTCCAGAGATCTTCAAAACCCGCTTGGACGCAGCCTGTGCCCCGTGCTCCAGGTGACCCTGCGTGAGCAGGGGGGTTGGACTCGATGACCTCTGAGGTCCCTTCCAACCTTGAGCATTCTGTGATTCTATGATTCTCTTTCTCAATGAGCTCCTCACTTTGACCTATTGCTTTGCAGTTCTCCTCCCACTCCCATCCTGCTGCCAGCCTCTCCTCCCTCATGGGAGCTCTGCCAAGTGCTTACTCTGCTTTCCCTGTTTCCTGCCCATCCAGGCCTGCTGGATGGCCTTCCAGGCCTCATTTCCTATGCCTTGGCCCATCTCCGTAACCCTCTAGGCCATCAGCCTGGGAACCAGCGAGGGAAATAGCAGGCTTGGCTTCCTTGGCAGGGACAGACTCCCACAAGGAGCAGTCCTGGAGCCTGCTTAAGTAGAGGGTTAGCAGAGGGGCCAGGCGAGAACTCTCCCAACCTGTCCTGCACCAGRGAAACCTCTATCCAGCTGCTTGTCCAGATCCCTAGCTCATCCTCTGCTTCCATGCGGCATATGACCCTGCCCGGGTGGCTCCTGTGCCATGGGAGAGGAGGGGACATCTGCTACATGTGTCCTGTTCTTCCATTTCATGGCAAATGCCATAACCACAAAAGATACTTTTATTCTTCTGTCCTCCTCCTCTCTCATGCCCTGGCTGGTCTATGGAGAAGGTCTCTTTTACCTCTGGGTAAAACCTCTCCTTGGTTTATCCCTTCTTGCATGACCCTAGCTGTGCCAAGCACATGGGTTTCAAGTTTTGAGTGTCTCCACGTGCATCTAATGGCCCTGAGATGATCCTCTCCCAGGATTATGTCCACTATCCTCTGATGCCCCTGGAAACTCTTTGCTTGCTCTGCTAGGAGTTTTAATAACTTGCCTACCTGCACTTGTGGACCATTTAATCATCTTGRCTGCCCGTTTCAGGTGCTGCTCCCTCATCCTTGCACCCAAAGAAGTGAGAGGTCWGTTCAGACCTGCCACCTAATTTCAGGGGCTGGAATCGGCTCCTGGGGCTCTGCTCCAGGGAAAGARCCCAGGTTGTTTCCAGTGAACTCCGCCTCTTCTCCCACCTTCCCAAGGTTTGGCCCGAGAGCAAATATTGCCGCTGGACACGGCGCTAACCTGCAGGCTGCCGGCTCGCAGCTCCACCAGGAGATGGTCGGGCTGCCCCGCAGCCAGGAAGAGGAGCCCGTCCCGCTGGCTCGTGTACAGCTGCAGGTGGAGCTGCACGGTGCGCGAGGCGTCCGCCAGCGGCATCTCCACGTAGCCATCCCCGAAGAAAGAAGCTGTGCGGAGGAAGGAGAGGGTCACGCGAGGAAGGGCGCGCGAGTTATCCGTCTGTCCCCAGGGTGTTTGCRGGCTGTGCCCAAAGCCAGTTTTCCCTCGTACAAGGCACTGCAATGTGCCAGCTGGAAGAAAAGAGCTTTTGCATCCAATCCCATGCGCATTACTAATGAAAGTTGCGAGCGCTGACTGCCGATTCCTGCTGTCCGGCTTCTTCCCACCCTGCAGGAGCGGACACAGGAGCTGCAGCTGCCGTCCATGGCCACAAGATGGGGCCAGCGGATCCCTTCCCGATCCCGAATCCATCCCCGATCCCTGCTATGGCCCCATCCCGGCCCTGTACGGTGGGTTGTCATCCGTCGCTGCGGTTTCTAGCGTTGGGTGCATTGTTGTTTGGGAGATTATCCCTCTCGTTGCCTGGCCASTTGCCATAGCCATCATGTGGACATGTGGCCATTCCAAGTGCTCGAGACTGAGCTGTTAGCCAAACACTGCTTTCCCATTGCTGCCTGGATTTCCCAACTGGTGGAAATCCCTGTTCTCTCCTGCATGGAGAGCCCCAAGCTGGCAAGTGAGCAGCCACTGCGCTCCTCCTGCTCCCTACTTCATCATGGCTTGAACATGGATCCATTGCCAATGTTCACCCAACAGGGGCTGCTTTGGAGAAACCAAGGTGCGTGCTGAAGATCCATATGTGGATGTAACGTCATGGAAAAACCTCCTCTCCAGCGCAGTGTTTAACGCTGCCGTTGGCCAGGGCTCAGCAGCCAGTGTACGTTAGAATTAGAGGGACTCAGTGCAATGGCATGTGGTCGTGTAATGACAGGCTGTGTCACTGCGCCCATGCAGAATTAAAGGCGTGGGGCAGCTATAGAGCTGGTACAGCTCCATTTTAGAGTGCTCACATCTTTGAACCATCCAAATGCCCATGTGCACATTGTGCCCAGGCACATGTGTATGTCCATGACACATGGCTACGTGCTCTTCCGAACACCGCAAAACCTGGAGTGCCCCACGCTGGAGTTAACTCTGCAGCTGTGCCATGAAGCAGGAGCACTGGAGAGTCCCRCGAGATGCAGAAAGACAGAGTGGGCATTTTGAGGGGTGAGTATATGTGTATGGTAACCACTCGCAAAGCCTACTGTGCTCAAGTTTATACATGTGCACGACCTCTTCCAAAGTTGGCCCAGGCATGGTCTATGTGACTTGGTGATGCTGCCTTTCCCCTCTTTGGGTGGCACGGGGAGATTCCATGCGGTGTTGCAAGCATTGTACCCTCCAACCTGCAGGGATGAAATGGCAGCATGGAAATAGGGAGCTGGCTCCAGGAGTAGCCCTTTGGCCCAGCCCAGGGCATTTTTCATCATTTCCTGGTGTTTGTGGTTGGCAGGCGCCTCCTGTCAGTGAATCACTGCGGTTTGACTACTCTCCACACAAACCATAAAGGTCACTGTCCTCTCCTGAACCACCCTGTGCTGCCATGGGTGCCGGTGAGGATGAGCAGGGGCTGCTGTGCTGCACTCACCAGCCCCACGTTTTGCAGGCAGGGCCGTCGTGGCGTCTTGCAAGGGGGACTTTGCAAGGCCAGGCGCCAAGGCGCATGCATGTGCAGGGCTGTCGCCTGCACACCTTGTCTGGCTCCCTCCGAGGGTTCCACCCATGTGTGTGCAGTCCGCGCCCCAGCTCATACTGTGATTTTCCTTTTTTTTTTTTTTTTCCCTTTGTGGCTTCTCATAATCTGGAAAATGCGGCCTCCAGCTGGATGCTGCAGAGCTGCTGTCAGGGAGCTCTGCAGGGACTAGTTTGCTCTTTGCCTCGGCCAGCACCTAACCTGCTTGGTCCCTGACACGCAAGGGGATGAGGARTGGGATGTAGGGACCATGCTACCCATACAGCCCTCATACCCCGAAAGAAGTGGCCAAGAGCTCAGTCTACAGTGAGCAGGAGGCCAGTGCACACTGGGCTCTTCCCAAGGAGTATCCTGGCCCCAGCGGGAGAGCAGCTCAGCCCCCAGCTCCGATACAGCCTGTTCCCAGCTGCGAGCATCCCGCCGCYGGGAACCTCCCCTGCTCGCCAGGCCCCGGGAAGGCGCTTGCTCACACTTTCCGAGCGGCCGTACGGCTGCCAGCAGATTAGAGGCTGTGCCTTCRTATTTTGCATAGGGAAAAGGAGAAGAAGGGAAAACACGGGGCTGCGGGCACGTGCACGCTTGCCAGGAGGGGAAGGCACTTCATTAAAGCGGCTCCTTAGCTGCACCCAGAGCATCGCAGAGGGTGCCAGGGCTGCTGCACGCATGCACAGTGCCAGCTGCTCACAGCGGTTTCCTGCCCCAGCTGCACAGCTTTTCCTCCCGTCGGAAAAACAGGCGGAGGCTCCCGGGGGCTGCAAACAGCCCCGGGCTCACGCGGCCGCYGCTCCACCAACAAGGAGCCTAGTGTGCCAGCCGGGAGCAGTGGAGCAGGGCAGGAGCCCCAGCGCTGGCCCGATGGGCACACAGGGGCGTTCCAGGCTGGCGCTGTCAGCAGGAACGTGTTTCCAGCCTGCTCCCGAGGTCTCTCTTTTTTTTCCCCTATGGCTTTATAAGGCAGCAAGCAGCCGCTGTGCCCGGGCGTCGCAGCACGCGCCTGCGATGCTGTGCGCTGCCTTTCGGGCAGTCCCCTGGCCCGCGGGCTGCATGAGAAAGGCTTCATTATGCTGCGCATTCCCATCGCTTTATGCAAGGGGGTTATTTCTGGCCAGGGGAGGAAATGAGCTGCTTGCAAGGCAGCTAAGGCAAACACCAGYGCTGCGCTGCCAGCCAGGGCCATGCTCGTGTGCACGCGGAGGGGTCAGAACCCGCATGCCCCGACACCAGCTKCGTTACCGTGCCGGTCCCCGTAGCATCACGCAGAGCTGCCTCTGACCCCCGGCTCCTCCGSTGGCCCTGGCCGCTGCGCTCTCCCCCACGCACTCCCCAGCTGCGCTCCCTCTCCCGCTCTCCTTCCCGGCCTCCTGGGCTGCTGCCTGACAGCTTGAACTAGTAAAGAACCTCTTTGCAGCCCACGTTGTTTTCTCCGGTCGCCTGAAAACAAGCCCCTTGCTGGACCCCCGCAGCCCACCTGGGGCGAGAGCAGCATGCGAGCACCCATTGCACCCAGCCCCGTGCACCCACTGCAGAGCGAGACCCGGCGTGTTTGGCCGGACACCCTTGCAAAGGTCAATAGCTCTTAAAAGCAGAGATGTGTTGCAGGTGCAGCCTAGCCCAACCTCTGCCAGCACTGAGACCTCCTGGGGTCTCTGGACCTCCCACCTGGGCGGCAGCTCGGGGGTTAAACAAAATGGGCCGTTTTGTGGGGAGAGGAAGCGGGGGCCGGGTTAGACTGCTGGCGTGGTGAGGGAGCTCACATCTGGCGAGCACGTCGCGCACGCGTGTCCCAGTGCAGCTCCACGTGGCTGGAGCGTTCCGCTGGGACACCGGGAATCAGCCCTGGGTTGCAAGCGGCGCCCCAGGAGCAGCAGGCGGGAAGGTGGAGGTTTTGGGGCAGCGCAGGGCTAAACAGGGGCTTTGTGCCATCGCCCGCAGCGTGACTCAGGCGCACGCAGGCTGCCAGCCGCCGGAGTTGGCCTGGAAAGTCTGCCTCAGCCCCGGCGGCCGCGGTTTGCGAGCCGTGCTGCGGCGCGGTGGTTCTCGCCGTCCTCGCTCCTCTTGGCCGCAGGGCTCTCTCCCGGCTCCGCCCTGCACACGCTGGCCTGCGCTCCCGCAGCCGGAGCCCAGAGGCGGCGTTGGACCCACCCCGTGTGCCCCTGGATCCTGCTCTCAGAGACTGGTCCCCGGCGTCTCCGCAGCCCAGTGTGGTGGCCAGCAGGAAGGTGTCCTCCCAGGACACGGCTTGCAGAGCAGGAGAGCAAAGCCAGGCSATGCTCGCAAGCATCCCTGGAATGGCCAAACGTTACCGGAGCGATCCCGCCTGCAGTAAACAAACAGCAGGAGCTGGAGAAGGGCCCGTTTCCATTTGCCTTGGCCCTGGCTCGGCCGTTTCCCAGCCCTACATGCAGCGAGATGCTTGGGAAGAGCCAAGCCGGGGAGGATGGAGCAGCCAGTGCTCAGGCAGGGGCAGAAAACCGTGGAAAAGGGAAGCAAATAGGCAGGGACATGGAAGGAGCCTCTCCTCTCCTCTCCTCTCCTCTCCTCTCCTCTCCTCTCCTCTCCTCTCCTCTCCTCTCCTCTCC